TTGTCTGTCTTCTGCAGAACAACAGGTGAGTTTGAACTACCAACCTTGGGTCAGCAGCCCAAGCTTAACCTACAATGCCATCAGGACCCCTAATATATGTTCCTCTACCCATATCCATATCCATTTTCCTGCCTAGACGATTCTGGCGTCTGGTGACAATATCGATAGAGCCGAGATGCCCCATGGGGTTTCAAAACCTGAGATCTCTAAGGAAGCAAACTGCCACATCTTTCTACCGCACCACAGCTGGTAGTAATCGAGCTCTGAAACATTGTGACCCTAACAGCCACCGGGCTCCTCCCCTCTAGTCATAGCTGCTGCCAATGCAAGTTGAATGATAGACTTGTAAGATAGGCATTTTAGATTTAGGAACTCATTTCAACTCCCTACAACCCTGTAATGTGGGTAGTATGATCCAAAGTCAAACATCACAACATTGTGAGGATGGGACAGGAGTGGGTGGCGTTCTGTTCTTTATACATAGGGTCCCTGAGGCAGCTAACAACTATAACATAGAGTGAGTAGATAATAGAGTCAGGACTTTATGATGATACGTTTGTAAAGCACCTGCTGCCATCAAATCGACTCCCACTCAGAGTGACCTATACAGGGATTGGAAGGTTGTCATCTTTTCAATATCAAGACAGCTTCATTTTTCTCCCAGAATGGCTAGTGGGTTTGAAGCATGGACCTTGGGCTTAAGAGTCCAACGCCAGGGGGCGCTGTAGGGTAAGTGTTGGACAGTTAACCACTTGGTGGCTGGTTCAAACCCAGGAACCGCTCATCTAGAGACGTGCGCGAGGACTTAGTTTCCAAGACCCTATAGCGAGAGAATCGCTGTGAGTCGGAGTCCACTCCATGGCAGTAGGTGTGGGGTTTGGTTGATGCTCATTTGACTTGCAGTCAGCCATCTTTGAGGTCATCAGTAAAATCTAATCCAGCAATCACTTAAAGTGTGGTCTGCACACACCCGTATCAGAATCACTGTCAACAATTCAGATTTTCTGATTCTACTCTTGGTCAAAAAACCAACAGAAGGACCTCAGGAATCAGTATTTTTAAATAGCACATTCAAGAGATTCCGTTGCAAGTGATCTATGAATGTAGATTATTTGTATGCAAACTGAAGTGTGAGGATCACCAGCCTAGGTTATGGCAATGTTGAAAGACAATAGCATACTGCCAAGGCTGACTTCCAATTTGCACAGCCTCCTCTGACCAAATTCTAATCTCAGACGCGTTTGTCTGCAGCCACAGAACGCAGGTGAGCATGCGCGGCTTCAGTCCCTGCGCGCTGGGCGGGGCGCTGAACGACCACGCCCCTTCGGGGCTGGCTGAAGTTGGGGTGGGTTCCTCTTTAAAGGAAACCAAATTCCGGCTTCCTCTGCCCGTAGCAGTTTAAAGCTCCGCCCCCTCGAAACTCGGACCAATCAAACAGCAGATTGCTGAAATTCGGAGCCAATGGACTGAGCCGTCCTTAGTGCCCCTCTGCAGTTTGAAACTGTCAGGTTGCTGCTACGGTAGCAGCTGACCTCGCTGGGTTTGTCGCGGTGAGGAGACGTGGAGTGGCAGCCGGACTCCTCGAGAGCAGGTGACGCTGGGGGGCGGCGGCCCGCGGCGGCCCCCTTTTCGGGCTGAGAGAGTGAAGTAGAGGTTCAAGTTCTCCGGCCCCGGTTTCTGCTGCGAAGGGCTGGGCGGTTCAGCTGTTCCGGGAGGGCTGAGATTGAAGACGTTGTCCCCTCCGAGGTGTCGGGGAGGAGGACAGGAGGGAGGGCCGCCTGGAGTATAACGGCACGGACGCCACAAGGTCCTGGTGATTTAAAACATTGGGAAAGAAATAACCGTGCATAAAGCCCTATCGCTCATAAGTAAGAATTTGGTGGCGACCAAAAGAGATGGAAAAGAAAGTTGAAGAAAATGAACCTTCTTGCTAACCTACAACTGCTTTTACCTCGGGCCCCACTCCTTCTTGCTGCTGGGACCCGGAGAGGACCCAGGGGACGTCACGCCGCTTGCACGTGAATTCACTCTTCTGCTTCTTGAGGGACCTTTTGAATTCTCAGACCCCTCTTACCTTACCAGCCAATTAGCTAAGGTGTAATTTGATATCTCTGGTACTTAAAACTGAACATCTTGAGGTTTCCTATAACGTGGGTTTAGGAATACTGAGATTTTAGTGAACTGATGTGCAATGGCTATCCATGGAAACACGCTTCGTTTTTCTTAATTTGTTTCTGAATCTAGAGATGTCCAGGGAATTGCTGGTACCGTAGGGTTCTAAGAGGAACCTAGTGGTGAAATGGCTACTCATTGGGCTGCTAAGGTGAGCAGTTTGAAACCACCAGCCACCCTGCAGGAGAACTATGAGGCTTTCAATTCTCATAAAGAGTTATGGCCTTGGAAACCCATGCGCAGTTCTGCCCTAAATTTAGGGTGGCTATGAGTCAGAAGCGACTCTATGACAATGAGTTTGGTTTTTTGGTGTTTTGGGTTTTTTAAAGGATTTTAAATGATGGTTGGCATGGCATCCAAGCAGGAGGAATGGAAGACCCCCACCCCCAAAATGCAATAGTGCTTCTAGAGCCACAGTAGCTGTATTCAGGAACCCATTTTTGCTGTCTGGCCAGACTGTTCCACCTATTTTGTTATTGTTTGTTTTTAAATAACCTGTACCACCTACCCCTGCTATTACCTGCACAGTGAATGCATAGAAAGATAAGAATCATCTTCCTCAAGAAATACTGATATACATTTACACTAAAGCTCCTGCATGTAAGTTGGGTGTATGGACTCAGGTTAAATACTCCTTCTCCCACTTCTTTTCCTAGGTGATCTCTTCCATCCCTTCTTTCTGTGGTCCCCAGTCTGTCAATGATTCCTCAAGTTATATAGCCACCCTATATAACTTTAAATATACTTAAATATAGGATTTCCCCACTGCACCACTCCAGAAAGCATGATTGCCATTTTAGTCATTTCAATGATAGTCCTTGGAGTTGCACAGTAGAGAGCCAGTGTGGCCATGTACTGCCTACCTGCACCTTCAACTCACTGCCTCAAGCTCCTCACATCCAACGCATCTGATTCCTCCCAACATGCTCTTCTTCCTACAGTCCCTGCCTTGGTGAGTGGTACACAACCCATCAACAATTCCTCTTTTTAAACCCTTAGCCAATTACCAACCATGATGTTTATCAAGTATTCAGTTGCTAACCGCAGTCAGCAATGGGGCTTTATATTTCCTTAAAGACTTACAGTTCCTACCCTGTCCTGTATGTAGGTCACGGTGAGCCGGGAACGACTTGATAGCAGTGAGTTTGTTTGGCTCATAGTTGTAATCTCCATGCCTTTCCCATGGCTGCTTCTAAATTCACCTGGACTGCTACTAGAGAGAGCATTAATATCATGGACCACTGCACTAGGCTTCTAATTACTGTACATCTCTCTTCAGTGCCCTACCTCTTTAATCCACCCTCAAAGACCTGACAGCCTGCTCTTACAAAGAGAGCTGTGTGCTATTGTGTTGCTTCTGCCTCTTGGTGACCACATAGGCCGGAGTAGAGCTTTCCCCAGAGGCACACCGACCTGTGCAATCAAGTACAGATTGCCAGGCCTTTCCTCCCACAGAGCTGTGGGTGGGTTTGAACTGGCAACCCTTCTGCCATTGAATCCCGGGGTTCTTTCTTGTAGAGATCACAACCACACTTATTGCTGTGCACATTGATTAACATCACAATCTTTTTTTTTTTCCTCAATAGACTCACTGGGGGCTTTTCTTAAGACTGTTCGTTTTGTTTACGCATTTATGCAGTTGTCTCCTGGACCACATCACCAGCTTACTGCTGTTGGAGACTTGAGTCTTTTCACTATTAGTTCTTGCCCAGTGATTTTTGCCAACTGATGCTTAATATGTTGAATGATATCACATGATGATGGTTCGTAAGTTATTGTATTTTTAAATATTGAGGGGGGAAAACTAAACTTAGTTTCTACTATTTTATCATATTTGTGCAGAATGTCATCAGATGAGAAATTGTCACCTCCAGTTTTGCCACATGACTCCGATCGAGGCAGCTCTGTCTCATCTGAGCTTCAGGTAGGAAGACATTTGTCATGACCTTTTCTTTTAAAGAAGTGATAATATAAGGGAAAAGTTGGAATGCATTTTCTGTTCATTCATCTCACCAAGGAGTCTTTCAATTTACAGTAATATCAAACTTTAGGAATTATTGAACTAACTGAGAATTAACTTAAGTCAAGGCAACTAGTACTGCCACAACAAACAAACCACACACCGGAAAAAAAAACAACCCCACACAATGGGTAGCTATCAAGAACAGAAATTTTGTTTTCTCACCGTGCTGGAGACCTTTACGGACAAATCAGGGCCGTGGCCATGTCGGTTCCTTCTTCGGGCTTCTCTCCTAGTTGTTGGTGTCTGCTGGCAGTCCTTGACACTCACTCCTTTGCCTGTAGGCGGGTCCCCATAGGCGGCTGCCAATCTAAAGCAGCTCCGTGGTCCGTGATGAGTGAGTATAGAGCTCTGCCAGTCCTGTGCTGTCTCATTAGCATAACAAAAGGAGGCTCCAGTTTGTGAGCAGGATTCTATTTACAGGCCCAGGGATGAGGACTTCAACATAACTACTGTTGCTGGATGCCAGCATCAAGTCGGTTTAACTCACGTAGTAGACAGTGGAACCAAACTGCCCCGTCCTGGGCCAGCCTCACCGCTGTTCTTACGTTTGAGCTTATCAATGCAGCCACTGTGTCCGTCCATCTTAGTGAAGACCTTCCACTTTGTCAGTGCCCTGCTCCTGTACCAAGCAGTCTCCCCTGCTTCAGGGACTGGCCTCTCCTGACAGCATGTCCAAAGCGCATGAGCTGAAGTGTCACCATCCTTGCCTCTAAGGAATGTTCTGGCTGTACTGGGGTGCAACATTCAATCCATAACACCTTACATTCCTTTAACCTTTCTGGAAATAATCATGAACTCTTCATGGTTTTTCACAAAGATTTCATAAAACGAAGCAGGAGAAAGGTGAAAATTCCAAGAAACATCTTTGTCTTGAAATGTTCTCAGTGTCAATGGCTCTGGTGAATCTGACTTTCACTTTTAATGCAAATTAATGCAATACCAAACCTTCCAAAGTTCTGGAGGTCCTAAATTCCCTGTGTTCTATTCTCGGATGTTCTAGTCGCTGTTGCTACAACATCCACCACATTCTCCTGCCCGGGGCCTGAGCATTGACAGATAAGTTGGATAAATTCACTGTAGGAGGTGTGACATTAAATGCTTATCATTTCTTTCATTTGTGAATGTTTCATTATAAAAATATATATAAATTTCTATTCCTACAGAACTTTTAAAAGAGAATACTGGTATGGTGTCTCTTGAATTTTACAGTTCAATCACTTAAGAAGGGAAAAGCTGTTAAAATATTTTTTGAAAGAAATATATTATTTTCAATTAAATGTTGGTTGTAGAAATTAGGAAAGTATTGTGGTAGAGTGAAATTTCTTATTATGGTTCTTCTACCTGACTCTTCCTAACTCCCACTAAATGATTGGGTGGTAAACAGTAAACAGGGCGTGTGTAACACTGTAAAGATGAGCCATCTAGGAAGCGCTGAGGGAGAAACAACCCAGGACCTCAGAAGAGCACCTTGCAGGTCTGTCTGATGTGGCCGCAGCAGAGACTAGCACGTAGACTCAGGGGCAGCGCCAAACTATGGGGTACCTTCTTACCTGGCCTGAGGTCATGGGACTGTGGGACAGAGTGACAGATGGGCTGTCTTCCTTGCCCATGGAGACAAAACCCAGGGAACCACGTGGCTGAGAGACTGAGAAATGGGGAGAGATTTGGCTACCATGTCTCCGTGAGAGACTGACAACTGGAGAGAAGAATTGGAGCCTTCTTCCTCAAAAATAACCGTCGTGTGAAATACTTTCATTTACCGCAGGAAATATAAAATCAAAAAGCAGGCATTTGTCTAGTATAAAGAGGACATCACTTAACCAAACGCACTGATTATAACAAATGATGGGGTTTTATTTGTTTTTGCCCGTGTAATTCAGTAGCTATGTGCTGCGACACTTTAGGAGGTAGTTTTGAGCATCAGTAAGCATACTTAAGATGCATCCAAATAACAAGACAGTTGTATGTTAGAGTTTTCATATCTAAACTTTCTATGGAGGAAAATTAATGCTTAAGAACCCTTAAGAATAATGACATTACACATTCGTCAAAACTTTACCCTCAATATCTCTCTCTCTCTTTTTTTTTGATCATTTTATTGGGGGCTCGTACAGCTCTTATCACAATGTACAAATGTTGCCATCATCATTTTCAAAAAATGTTCTGTCTGCTTGAGCCCTTAGTATCAGTGCCTAATTTTTTCCCTCACTCTCCTGTCTTCCCTCCCTCACGAACCCTTGATAATTTATACTTTTTTTTTTTCATGTCTTACACTGATGTCTCCCTTCACCCACTTTTCTGTTGTCCATCCCCCTGATAAGTAGATCATTGTGATCAATTCCCTCTTCCTCCCCGCACCTTTCCCTTTCCCTCCTGGTGCCACTACTCTCATTATTGGTCCTGAGGGCTTTATCTGTCCTGGATTCCCTGTGTTTCCAGCTCTTATCTGCACCTACGTACATGCTCTGGTCTAGCCCGAACCCCCAATCTCTTTTAATGCAAGAATATTCTCTGGGCCCATACTGTAAGGCTGGCATAAAAAGTATTCCTTAAACATATATTCCTTTTTAATAGCAGTATTTATTATATCCTTGGCCAAGCTCTTATGAATGCTGAATAAATTAGGTATCAGCTGTTGATATGGCTAAATACATAGCTATCTGATAAGGAATCTCTCTTCTCTCTTTCCCTTCTTAATTAGCTGTATTCCTAAAATGTATACAATTTGGGACCTGCCTTTTGTATGAATCCTTTCTCATCTGCCATGATGCTACTGGCAGGTAGAATAAAATAGATTAGCCTTTGTGCTCTTGTTTTATCTTCGATAATCTTTCTCTGCCAGTATTTTCCTATACTCTTTCTGGGTCTATGCATGAGACAAGACTCAGGGCTGTTGCAAAGGTGAGTGGAGCCCAAACTTTCTTTCATCCATAGGCTTTCCTTTCGTGGAATCTATGTGAGCAATACCTTTACCCTAAATTTCAGTGGAGAACAGGTAAAGAAATTGACTAGCCTGCAGACTTCCCTTGCTAGGGTGGAGCTCACCTGTGTTATAGATGTTCATGGGCTTCAGGGACCTCCTCTAGATAATTTGGATGTCACCACTGTTACATTAATATACTAAAGAAACTACGTAATAAGACACTTATCCACTAGAGGAAATTTGAGTAGGTATATTTTTAGTTGTGTGTTCTGTTTTAAGAAACCTGCTATGATAATGACATGAATGTAAACAAGTGTAAAGTGTACATTCTTTATTATAAAGGAACAGTGTTTTGAGAGCTGAGATTGACAAAAGTTTTGGCTCTACCTTTATCACTCTTTTGCCTGAGTGACCATTCTGACAGTGTAATAATGCATTATTGATTATTGGATCCTTTAGGAAGAGTATGAAGAATTGCTTCGTTATGCTATAGTCACTCCAAATATCGAATCCAGCACTTTGCAGTCTTCTCATCCTAAGGAAGAAGTGGTGCCAGATGTTAGAGTTCCTACTGTGACTGATGACATTCTTCATAATCAAGGTTGTGTTTCTTTTTCAAGATTTCTCTCAATTCGTAATATTTGTAAAATAATAGCTTTATTGATTATGCCAATTTATGTTTGTGAAATACCCCCTCTAGACTAGTAATTTAGCAGTCTTGTTATCATCTGAAGGTAAATTTTACATTTTAATGTGTTATTCCCGGATTATTGTTTGAACTTCATTTGACACTTTTAGAACAGTAATAAACTGCTCTAAAAGCAGCTGCAGCAATTGCTGATCTCTTAATGGAGTCCATTGCCTCCTCCCTTGTTCGCACAGTTGTATGCCATGATTACTTGAGAAACTAAATTCCAAGCCCCAAATTATAATTAGTCCAGAGGTAGCCTTGTGAAGCCTGTACTAAGACTTTACTAGTGATATTTACATGGGTGTGGAGGTCTAGGTGATCGTCCTCAAATGGACCTTTTTGTGGGCCTTGGCAGAACAGACCATGAACCAGGTTGTCTATTGATAGATGAGTGAAAGGCGGGTCAAGAAGGATGAAGTTCTTTTCACACACCTGTTCCTCACTTATCAACGTGGTTAGGTTTCAAAGATGGGGTCGCTATTGCTAAAATGGAAGCTTTTTTTCCTATTTTGTTTGTTTTCTGTATTCAGAACACCCCTTTGTCCTTTTTTAGATTTTTTAATTTAGGGAATGTGGTCATAGAGATAATAATCATTAAGTTTTGTTAATGTTCTCATCGTTATGATGAGTCTGACTGTGTTTTCTCTACGGAGGAGGAGTTTGGGAGAGCAAGCTGAATAAACCTGGACTCTGTGATTGGAAGGAGCCCAGGTGGCATCGTGGTTAACATGTTGGATTGCGATCTGAAATGCCCACCGATAGCAGCTCCTCTGGAGAAAGATGGGGCTTGCTACTCCCTTAAACATGTACAGTCTCACAGGCAGTTCTCCCCTGTCCTAGAGGTCACGTGAGTCAGCATTGACTCGGGGCACTGAATTTGTTTTGGGGGTCTGTGACTGAAGGGCCCACAGCTTAGCCACTTCACCTTCATTTGCTGGGTCAGGTTTCTTAAGCTCCACCCCCATCCTTGCAGACCTTGCATTGAGGTTCTGGAGCCTCCTCAGCCCTTGAGGCTGGCGAGGCACGGAGGTTCAGGTTTCCTGCCAAGCGTCCCAGGGCAGAGCCAGGCCCAGGCTGCAGGCCCAGGTTAGCTCTATTTGGGATGTCAAAAAGCCCGCTCCCCACTCCAATTCTAAGCAGTTTTGAGCGGTGGGGCCTCAGAACACATAGGAAACCTCTCAGTACTGCCTGCTAGTGTGCTGGCCCTGGGAC